GACAAGTTTTGAAATAATTTATGATATGTCAATATTAAATTCGCTTCCGCAATATTGTTAAATACTCCGTACTGTATATGTTATGAAAAATATTATTGGGATTAATAAAGTGTGTTTGAAAAGTTTTAAATTTTACGATTACCAAGTTAAATACTTTAGTCCGAATGGGGCTGCAGACCTGGACGGATTAGGGTGTTACAAGTAAAAATATAATAACAATATTAATAATAATTATAGTCATAATAATAGTATTAATAGTTATCATAATAATAATAATAGTAGTAGTAATAATAAAAATAGTAATAATAACAATAGAAATAATAATAATAATTTTAATAATATTAATAATAACAAAATAGTAATAGTAATAATAACAATAGTAATAATAAATGTAATAATAATAGTAATAGTAATCATTATTGTAGTAATAATAATAATAATAGTAACAACAATAATATTATTCATATTAATAGTAATAATAGTAATAGTAATAATAATAATAATAATAACAATAGTAATAATAGTTATAATCATTCTATTATAGTAATAGTAATAATAATTCTAATAATAATGGTAATAACAATAATAGTAATAATATTAATTTTGTTTAGATCTGATGTGGTCTGATATGATCTACTCTGATTGGATCTGATCTGATAAGATTTGATATGGTCTCATTGGATGTGATCTGATTTGATTGAATCTGATCTGATCTGATTTTAATAAGAATAAGTAATAAGCAAAAAAAATAAGTTGAAGGAAACACTGCCTAAATCAGTTTTTCTACCACTTGCATTTTATATTCTACCGTAAATTAGAACCACTTTATGGGTAAATTGAGAAGGTTACTTGTCAAGACCTTGTTGTAAGTTTAATATTCTTTCGTCAAAATAAATGATGAGGAATACTTTTATGAATAATCTAGTCAAAATGGGAAAACAAAAAACTATTTTAAAAATAATTAGGTAAGACCTACTTATTTTTTTAAATTTATAAGCAGCTTATAATCACCGAGAAATACTTTATGACCTGAATTATAAGTTAAAAACAATTTATAAATGGTTTTGACCAGCTTATAAACACAGAGAAACACGTACTAAATTACTTTTATACACGGTATGTGTAAAGTCAATATTTTTCCTCGATTCTAAATTAATCCTTTTACTTCTCTTTTTGGGTTTCTCAATTTAAACTTCTCATTCTTTAAAAGTAATGGAGTAGTGGTATTCATTGATTCTCTTTTATCTAAATAAATCTCAACTAATTAATTTTACTTTTGTACTACTTTAAAAAGTAAACGAGAAGATTAATACTCCCTCCGTCCCATTAAACATGAGATGTTTTGCTTTTTGAAGAGATTTAAGGAAGTGTATTTTGGTATTGAATTTCCAAAAATGTCCTTCGATGTGATGGATAAAAGTAGGATTTGATGGGTAGATTATTAGTAAAAAGGTATGATTTGATAGGTAGGGTATGAAAAAGTAAGGGGTAGAAGTGACTTTTTAATAGAAATGAGAAGTGTTTTATGGGACGGATGGAAAAAGAAAGGAGAAAGGTTTTATGGGACGGAGGGAGTATGAATTTAGTTACGATATGGAGAGGAGTATTTGATTTCTTCCCTTTCCCTTTCTGCTTTGCATTTTTTTACTTCTTTTATTGCTTTATTCTTGGGCCGTAAATAAATAACTAAAAAATTAATTATCGTTCGCATTTGTATTTTTCAAAATGGAGGATATTCCGTAGATATTTCAAAAAGTACATTACCTCTTGTAAAATTTATTTAAATGTATCTATTTAAAAAGATTATTATCTATATCTAATTAAGGACATTCGATGGATAAAAGACTGCACATTTAATAATCATAGATTTGATTCTACATATGCGTCCATTTGAGTAGTTGTTAATTCGTTTATCAATCTGTTATATACTTATATCTTTTTTTAAAATGAAAAGCAATTATACAAAAAGAAAAGAGAAAAGAAATACACAAGAGGAGGACGAGATCAATGCCCTCTTAAGAGGCCACAAATCATGGGAGGCCCGGAGGGTGTGCAAAGTGGCCAACCGCACAGGGCACATTAAAATTTAGGGCACCATATTTTTAAATTTGTTAATAATTTTAAAGCAAAAGTATTCTAAAAATATAAAATAGGACACAAAATGTAAATTTTGGACCGGGCCAATTTTATTTTTTCATTTTTCGGGACCGGCCCTGCCACAAATCTAAACAAAGGCCATAAGAAATCAAAAGGAGGTGCCCTAAATCACAACTAAAGACCACCACAAACCCTTGAAAAAAAAATCAAAAGCAAAATCAGGTAGACAAAAAATAAAAAGAGGGTTGTGCCATTTCATTCTTATAAGCAAAGTCCTCCAAAATCAATAGCCACCAGAAAACCTCAGCTTCTTCCTATCCATTACACATATCATGATTTATACTAAATTCGTCTTTTAGTAATTCTCTACTTTTTTTAGTCATAATTGAGAAATAGTGATCCTTGATTAAGGGTCTGTTCTTTAGACCTTGAACTCTTAATTTCCAGTTTCTTCCGGTTCTTTCCAGTTTCTTCCAGTTTTTTTCAGTTTCTTCTAATTTCTTCCAACTATGTTTATTTTCTTCAAATTCTTTCTATTTTATGAAAAATCACTCTAAAAAAATATATTATTATTATTATTATTACAACTTTTTTTAATTACAATTTTTATGTTCATAACTATAGTTTATAAATTATTTCATTTTTTCACCTCACTATTTTTATGATTCACATTCATTATTATTTTTTCTTCAACTTTTTAATATGAATAATACTGTTTTTTTGTATATTAATCTACATGAAAAATTAGGAAACTATTTAAAAAATTATGGATAAATAGTTATATAGAATATTTTTTAATCTAAATTTATATAAAGTAAACATCAATATTTTAATCTAAAATATAAAGTATGGAGTGTGGTGGGGAGTACTACATTATGAAAACCAAGAGAAAACTACATTTTGAAAAAGAAAAAAAGACCCAAGAAGTGTAATATTTATGCTAATTTTATATTCTAATTATTTTTTTAAACTAGCTTTTTATATATGAAAAATAATACTCGTAATATTTTTTTATTTTAAATACAATCATTAAGACAATGTGATAACACCACCACTACTAACACCCCCACTACCACCACCACCACCACCACCAGCAACAACAACAACAATAATAATAATTTATAACAAGAATCAGAATGAGAATAATATAAAACCACACATAAAAGTTTTTTAAATTTTTTTTTTAAAATTTTTCAATTTTTTTAGTTTTTTCAGTTTCTTTTAATTTTTTTCAGTTTTCCAGTTCCTTCTAGTTCCTTCCAGTTTCTTTCAACATCCAGCTCTTTTTTTTCAGTCCTAAAGAACAGGCCCTAAATAAAATTTATATTAGATATTTATATAAAAATAATTTTATTACATTTATTTTACTACCTCCGTCTCCCTGTATTTGTCCACATTTGACTTTTGGAACTGTTTATATAAGCACATTGACTCATCAAATTCTCTTAATGTGTAAGCCTAAATATAGTCATGTGTGATCTTGTTTGATTTGTCTTAACATATAGATTATTATTTATTAATATATAATTTTTATAATTTTTTAATATACAAATTACAAGATAAAATGGATTAAAGAAGTGCATTGGATGGTGTGTAAAAATGAAAGTAGACAAATACAGGGGGTCGGAGGGAGTATAAAATACTTTTAGAATATTACTTTATTCAATAAATATATAAGGGTCTGTTTGGTATATGGAATTGATAAAATTGGAATTGAATTGGAATTGAAATTCCATGAGATTCAATTCCATAGAATTGAATTCACCAATTCCAATTCATTTTTTGCACTATCAATTCTAAATCCACATATTTTTTGTGCTACCAAACACCGGAATTGGAAATGAAGTCTCCAATTCCAATTCCATAGTTTGAATTCCATGTACCAAACGGGGCCTAATAAAATTTTTATTCAATCATAGATCAAAAATTGAAAGTGATGAACTGCAAAAAGTTAAAATTGAAAAGATACTCAAAGACAGAGATAGTATATACTCCCTCCGTCCCAAAGAAAAGTTACGTTTAATTTTTTTGTGTATCCCGAAAAACACTTCTAGCTACATCTAAAATGCCTAATAATTACCATTACCTTTTATTGTGGGTAAAGTCGTTTTGAAAGCTTTTTCGCGTTTGAGACGACATAAAAGTGTTTTATGGGATGCGCAAAAAATGACACGTAACCTTTTTGTAGACGGACGGAGTTTTAAATAGTAAATAAGTAATTACACTTATTGTTTTAGTTTTTCTTCGCTTAGGAAAATGAGACAACGAATTTTTTTTATTTTTTATATTCAAATGTTGCTTTTCGATTTCCATTTCAAAGTATAAGAGATCTAAATGTGTACGAGTAAAACATATATGTACACTATGTGTGTGTGTAGTGTGTAACACCTTTTGAATAATGATATTAAAAGTATCTACTCTATATATCCTTCTTAAAAAAAGGTATATACTCAATAGTTCAATTTGACTTTTAAAAAATGTGAAATTTGCACTAAGTTATACTAAAATATATTCCCTTCATTCTTATTTCATTTACTTTTTACCCAAATATAAGTAAAATCCTAAACTTTTTCAATCAATTTTATTTAAAGGTTGGTATATGAATAAAAAATAAAATTTATATATTTAAAAAATACATCAAAAGATCTACAAAATAAGAGGTGGTAAAATATTTATTTCATTAAATGGTTAATGAAAATACTCAAATAACTAAAAGTTTCCGCAATTTTTGAATAGTTACTGTGTGAATCATTTAGGTGCGGAGGGAGTATGTCCTTTCCCAACAATGTAGACTCTGTTCTTTTGGGTTAGAATTACAGAGTAGGATATTGGAAGAAGCTGGAAGGAGTTGAAAAAAGTCGGAAGGAGTTAGAAAATGTTGAAAGAATTTGACACTTAAAAAGCCACTCAATTAAATAATCAACCAAATACATAAGTAAGAAATCTCTAATTTTAGATAATAAAAAATTTGGCATTGTTTGTGTTTGATGTGGTATGTCATAAAATTGAATAAATACTGTTATTTTATACGTAGTATTCGTCATATATAAATATATATTTTAAGTTGTTGGAAGAAACTAAACTGGAAGGAGTTAGAAGAAATTAGAAGAAGTTGGAAATTAATTTTTCTAACTTAAAAGAACAGAGCCGTAGTATCTAAAAAACTCATTTTCCAAATAGTACTTCAACAATGTTCAGTGGCAGGAGCAATGTCCAGTGAGGGTGTGTATTTATTTGAACAATGTCCAGTGACGGTAAACATTTTTTGACCAATATCTAATGGACATTAAACAATGATACTACACCGGAAAATTAAAACATATGTTACAACATTGGAAACTCGCTATATTTTAGTACTATATAGAAAAATTATTTTTTAAAATTAAGACTGGATATAGATATATCCGAAACGGATACGATACCGATGTTACAATTTTTGTACGGATTACAACAAACGCGGAAGATGAACGGCCCCGGAAAATAAAATTACATAAAATTCTGAATTTATAACTTATTTAGAATATTACAAGATAAACAGAATTGAAAATAAATTTCTATATCTTCAAAAAGCCTTGTTGTACGAGGACATTAATCACTGGACAGCAAGGACATTATGTACTGGACAGCGAGGACGTTATGCACTGGGCTGCGAGGACATTATGCACTGAACAACAAGGACATTATGTCCTAGAGCAGAATGCAACGAGGCCTTTATGAACTAAACCTGCAAAAAAAACACCGTGGAAGGACAACGGAGTCTCCGGAGCTGTCCTTAAGATAGTAGTGCCCGCCTACCGTACCGGAAGAACGTGGGCACTCTCCTCCCAGGATAAAACCGCTATCGTGTGTGGAGATTGTACGGACCAACCACACACCAACGAACTAGAACAGCGTAGGAACGTTGGCGACAAAAAAAAACTTTGAAGGGGATTGCCGGAAATTCGGCCGGAAAATCAAGAGCTCTCTCCAAAAAAACAAGGAAGTATTTTCCTTTTTTTTCTTCCTCACGCGTGAAACCACCTATGATGGAGAGTCTCTCTTGATTTGTTTTTATAACAAGGGAATTTGACAAAATGTAATTCCTACACCATTAATCCATGACATTTGTGGCACACTAATGACGTGTTAATGGTGATTAATTAGCCATTAACACGTCCGTTACGCTACGCTCCGTTTAAAATTTGTCCTGAATAATTGGAGATTAATGACCAGTTAACTCCGTAAAATGGACTAATTTTAAACAATACGTAAAATTAATAATAGAAGATTGATTCAGTAAAATTGCAAAAAATGCAATCCTTACCATATTCTTCTATTGACGGGTTAACTCTGAGAATCAATTTCTCATTCACCCTCTACCATTTTTGGCGTATAAATTATCAAAACATTTATCTCATTCAAGAGAACACACGTCCATTAATTAACGGTTAAAACCGTTAGTGGACCTATTGACAAATATACCCAAATTGGTCCATTTAATGCCCATTAAAAATGCCAAAAAATTCCAACAACCGGTGCTGGATTGGTAGACGGATATTGCATTGGTTTTTAGCATATACTCCGTATTACAATCCATATCTGAATTTAATAACTGTTAAAATTAAATAGACATACTCCGTAATTGTTATATCCGATCTATTTAATATCCGTTTATGGGAGTATTTTATTCATCAAAAATCTCGTACTCCATATTTCATCTTCTTGACTCTTGGTCAAATTTTGTTGCTTCGCCGAAACCATTGGTTGTACGGAAGCCCAGATATTTTGACTTATTCTTTAGGAGGTTATTACGGAGTATTTACCACTTCTAAGTTCTAATCAATACGAATTCCATCCATCCACTTGGTTCTTCAACAAAAATAGAAATTGAAAAAATAATTGTCATTTTAAAAATTTATTACTCCCTCCGTCCCCCGTAGATCTTCCCAATAACCATTTTTCTTTGTCCACAATAGATCTTCTCATTTCATTTTTTAACAATTAAAATACTACAATTACCCCTACTTACTCTATTTGTTACACCTCACCCACTTCATTTAATACACTCCACCCATTTTAAACTTTCATATTTTTTCAACTCTCCTTAAAAACCACCAAAAGTCAAAATGAGAACATCTTAGAGAGAGAGTACAATATTTAAATAAATAAAATCAAATTAAATTTTGAATAGGAAAAGAAGGGAGGGAATATAATTGTATATAAATAGACACATAGACACAAGAATTCAATAGTGCAGTTAGTTGCAGCATTGGCATTGCTTGTTCTGGTGGTTGTGGTTCAACTTTTTTTAAAAAAAAAAAAAAAATTTCTTCCAAATGCTTCTCTTCTTGATCACTTCCTTCACCTTCATCACCATTTTTTACAAGTCACTGTGCTTCCAATTCAAGGCAGTTCCTGCCACATGGGCAGCTGAGTTCAGATTGCTGTCCTTGTGTTTCTGGGATGGTTTCCATTTCTCCCTGCCCGCCCTGACACCTCCCGGAACGCCGCCGCCGCCGCTTCCCAGGATCAAACCCCCCGAGGAAGAACAGGGGACGGCGCTGTCGGTCCTGGATTTGCCTGATTTGGTGTTGGAGTGCATTCTCGAGAAGCTCCCGCCGGAGGGCCTGCGTGTCCTGGGCAGTGTGTGTAGGTCCTTGAGGGAGAGATGCACAAGTGACCGTTTGTGGGGAAGGCACTTGGAGCAGAAATGGGGGAGGGTCATTGGCCCTGCTGCCCACAGGGCATGGCAGTGCCATATCTCTTCTTCTTCTTCCTCCTCCTCCAGGTTTTTCAACCAAGGCCATCACAAGGGATTTTTGGGTTACCTCTCCAGGTTTTTGCCCATTTCTGGGATTCTTGGGTACAGGTGGAGGAGAAGAAGCCATTTGCAGCCTGTTGAGTGTTCCTCTGTCATGTCCTGGTATCTTGCTCTTGAATCCGGCAAGTTTTGGTTCCCTGCTCAAGTTTACAACCGCGAGGTACTCTATATTTTCGTGTTCGGTTTTCAATCAAAATGGGGCTTGTTTTTTTTTTTTTAAAAAAAATTGTCATTGAAATTCATTGTGTTTGTTGTGGTTTGCTGCAGAATGGGCATGTTGGGTTTATGATGTCTTGCTATGATGCTGAAATTAGCTATGATCCCTAGACTGACACTTTCCAGGCCAGGTACACTCTATTTCACATAACCTTTCTATCCCCCTCATTTAGCAAACCCGGTCATTACGTCCTTTTTTTATCCCTATATACCAACTAAGCAATGCCCCCAAGTTTTTTTTTAAATCGTCTAATGACACAACGATGACGGGAAAGTGCCATTTTTTGGGCAAAAAGAAAAGTAACCACATCATTACTTTACATATAGTGAGTTTTGAAAGTTTGGGTAAGAAGTGCTCCCTTCATTCCTAAATGCTAACGGAAGAATCGAATAATGAATGTAGACATAACGTATGTCTACATTCATTCAAAAGTCTAGTCTATCAATATGGTAAGCCAAGATGGCAGTTATTTAGGAATGGAAGGAGTATGAATTATTGAGGGTTGGATGAAAGTGGCCAAATTTTCAAAAAGGGAAAGCCATTTCAACATGGATGGTAAGCCAAGATGGGATGGGATAATAAAGAATGGGTTGTTTATTTGAATTGAATGAAAGGTATCCACCACATGGGAGGATGGCAGTGGCAGTAGAGAGTGGGGTGGCATGGGAAAGAATAAGAGCTCCTCCAATTGATACCTCCCCACACCATCTCCACATATCTGATTGCTTGAATGATTTGAGCCCTGGTGATCACATTGAAATCCAGTGGAGAAGAAACAAAAAATTTCCCTATGGTTTGTTCTTCTTCTTCTTCTTCTTCATGTCACCTCTGTTATTTTTTTTAAAAATTTATTTATTTATTTATATTGAACTTATTAGGTAGTATTTTCTTATTCTAGCTAGAGTGTGGAATCAAATGCACCCAAAGAAGAAGAAGAAGAAAATTAACCTAACCATTAGGAAATGAAGACGTAATAAAGTACTTCATAGGAATTCTAGAAGTCTTATGTCACGAGTTTTACTTTAGACCAAAGTTCTACCCCAAAGACATGATGTATTTTCGGTAATAATGAAGGAAGGGGAACCAGAAAGACTTGATTACAACTAAAACATGTTCTATATAACAAAAAAAAATTAATAGCAAAATATAATTTATAATATCAAAATATAATGCAAAAAAATATACGTGCTCCCTCCGTCCCACAAAAAAGTTCACATTTTGACCATAAATTGGTCAAACTGTTGCACACTTTGACCTTAAATTAAATATAATCTAAATAAAGAAATGCTTAAAAAATTTGAGATATCAAAACTAGATCCTAAGATGAATCCAATTATATAAAATTTATTTCATAATTCAATATACCTTTCTCACAATTTGTAGTCAAAACGTGTAAATATATGACTAAATACTATTCAAAATTAGAACTTTTTTGTGGGACGGAGGGAGTATGTGTTTCACAATGCCAGTATTCTTGTTTAGGAGGAAAAAATTCAGATCTTTTTTCAACAAAAGTACTGTAATACTGCCGTCCTATAAATCTTTCATGTTTTGACTTTTTCTAGTTAGGCAGTGAAAGTCTGATCATTAATTACGAGAAAAATATATTTAGTTATAATATAAATCAAATATAATTGAGTTCATCTTAAGATATAATTTTGATATATCAAATTTTCATATCATTTATTTATTTATGGAGAGAGTTTATTTTAATTTTAGACGGGAGAGAGTTTATTTTAATTTTATGGAGTACAAGTATTTCTTTTCAATAAAGTGATGCCTTTAAAAAAGAATTGACTTCCCTATTAGTTGGGCGGGTGTGGATTGGACTGGTGACTCAGCACTTTTATTTTACTACGTATAGAAAACTTGTTTGGGCGGGCTGCCTTTAATTGACTGCAATTCAAGATTTTCTTTTTATTCTTTTTTATTTCTTTTTATTTTCTAGAAATGATGTCAATCTTTTTATATAGAGCAATGTTAGGGTACACCAAAAGTGTACCCCAATTGTACACCACTTGCTTCTCCACCACACATCTCTATTTGATTTTTATTTTTTGAATCTCTTGCCAATTATTGTGGACAAAGAGGGGGTGGGGGAGAATTGAGGTACACCTTTTGGTGTACCCTAGCATTTTTCTTTTATAAATTTATAAATAATTAAAAGAGTGTGACTCGAACTTATCTTAAGGTCTTAATTGTCCTTATAAAATGTCTTTTTTCCCTTCCCATGGGAATATGGTCAACGATGCTTAATTAATAATCAAGACTTTAACTGGATGCATGAGGTGACGCGTGGCGACTGATGATTGGTTAGGTAGACAGCCACATCAGGTTTAAAAAAAAAGGATCTGGTCATTATATATATATATATGGATTATGTTATGTGTACCCCAAGGTTTGTACCCCGCAGTTTTGCACCAACACTTTGTGTTGGTGTAAAACTAATTTTTGTTAAACGCACCAACATTTGTGTCCGTGTGAATATTTATTAACGCACCAAAACTTGTGTCGGTGTAAACCATCGAAATGTTTGTGCAAGCCTCTGGTGTACAAATGGGGTATATTTTTTGGTGTAAGTGTAGCATGGTCCTATATATATATATGTCTCAACTTTGATTGGATTTTTATTCTTGTTAAGATATGATCAAATCCATCCAATGGATTTTGTTTTTTTTTTTAAATATTTGCTTCAAATAATTAAAATGGGCGATTGGTTTTTATTAATACCGTGTTTGGCCTGGGGAAACGAAATATGTACAGGGTGGTGGTATGGCATTGTTGGCCACTTGGAAACATGTGATGGGATTCCCAGCTTCTGTCGCTGTAATGAAAGTGGTGAGTTGGCTCCCCCCCCCCCCCTTGCCCTATTTATTTGGATCCATTCATTGCATTTTTGGTTATTATTTTGGTTCACAAAGAGAAATTATACCAGAGAGAAAAAAGAAATGTGTGAAAAAATGACTAGAGTATTTCTGAAAGGAATATTTTGTGTGTTGTTTGGTATGAAAGGAATATGAGAGAAAGTGAAGGGAAGAAAATTTGTACCAAGCATTTCTTTCATTCTTGAGTATTCGTCTAGTTTGATTTTTTCGAATCAGATTAAAAAAATAGTTTTTTACGTAATTCCGAAAAATGTAATTCTTCAGTCCCAGTAAAAAATGAAAATTAATCAAGTGTGTAGAGTTCCCATGGCATTGGTTTCCAATGTCATGATGACCCGGGAGTGTTCCGGTGCCCCATTCGTAAAAGTGACGGTTCCTATCCCCCGGTAACCCCCCGCCCCGACCCGAACACACCCCCCACCCTTTCAATTGCACCCTGATGGTGTAAATATAGCGGGGTGGGTTAACCGGGTTTGACCTAGACACACTTGACCCGTAATATAAAACACACAAGAACACAAAGTATGACCTAGACCGGGTAAATCTCCTCAGCTTGAATTATACTTCTTACTCTATCTCAAGAGTGAACTTTAGTGAGAGAAAAATTGGATCCCCTCCTCTACCAAATATCATCATATTTATAGAGGAGGATTTGTGACCTTCCCCTGTTCATCCATGGACAAAATAGGAAGCTCGTGGGAAGGTCACTATAGATAATGGAAGCACTGTACAATCACAGACTTGCTACTAATACAACCATAAAAGCACTGTTCAATCAAAGACTAAAATGGATATTCTCAATCCAATCAACTCTGCAAAATGACAAACATCCCTTTCACTGTGTGCCTCGTGACGGATGAGCGGCGGGGTGTCCCCTTGACCTCTGACGTGGTTCACTGTACCTAAGAGACTGGACCAATGTTAGCAAAGTAACGTGGTATGACCGGTCACCTTTTGTCAAAGGTTACCCAGTCATTTTTTGAGCTCAGCCCGTCTCTTTGGTCTTCCGAAATATCTTTCGTTACATAAGTTGATATTTTGGCTATTGCCCAAAATGTGACCGATCACTGTTTTAGTGGAAATGACCTGTCAACTTTTGACCCGTCCCAATTGAAGAGTTAACCTCATTTGGTGATTGATAAAAGTGACCGGTCATAATTTGACCTGTCCCTTTCGGTTGTCCAGGTTGGGTATAGGGATATACCCATCACACCCCTAGGTTAATTTTGACTTTTGGTTTTTAATATTATGGGAACTGGCCCCAATTTTCAGGAAAAGAAATATTGTTAAATAAACCAAAATATTTTTTTAGGATAATTATAGTGCCACTAGTCTACTACCCAAGTGGTCTTAAACGACAAAAAAAACTGACGTTCTGTGAAGCATCCATTGATAGGGTGTCTGCATAAAGTTACCCAGCCACAACATTATATTCTCCTTTTCAAGGAAAACCAGGTGAGTGTTTTTTGGGAAAAAGTGTGATGGACTACTTCCAAACGGACCTTTATGGGCATTAAAAAAGAAAGACAAAAAATACTTCCTCCGTCCCAAATTATTTATCATATTTCTATTACCGAGGCAAAATATCAAGTTTTTTTCATTCATTTTATTTACATATTGGTAAAGAAATAAAAAAATTACATATAAAAAAAACTACATGAAAAATTCTTCGAAATAAGAGGTATCAAGAATATTTTATTTTATCAAATAACCAATGAAAACGTAGAAATAAACAAAAGTTCTCGCGACTGTTGGAAAAGAAAATGTGACAAATAATTTGGGACGGAAGGACTAATAAAATTAACAAACTTGTCACATCATCATTTCAATAAATAGGTAAATTTTACTCTTGGCCTAACATAATTTTAATAAAATTCACAAACTTGACATCTCATAAACAAATGTTTATTGTTTAGAAGAGTATTTTTTATTTTTTTAAGATGAAAATAAAATTTAATGTCAAAAGATCCACAAAATTTGTGTAGACATTTTATGCACAAATGAAAGCATTTCATCAAAAGAGTAAAATTGTCTCAAATAATTTATTTGTTACTTTTGCTTCTCCCTCCTACTCTCAAAATCACCTCACTAAAAAGTTTTTACATTTGCTTCTCTTACTGTCAGCATCACTCTTTCTTTAAAAAAGAATAGTGTGATTTTTACTATCTTCCTTTCATACTCTGTAATATTTTGGTCTTGTTTGATCCTTGGTATAGTATTCTCTTAGTCCTAATTTATAGTATTTGTTTCAATTTATAATATTTAATTAATATTATTTTTTAATTTAATTTATATGGAGATTGAGATATGATTAAAAAATAAAAATTATACATTTAAAAAATATTCCCTCCATCTCACAAAACACTTTTTGTTTTGAATTTTAAAGAATCTAAGAGAGTACTATGTATATTTTAATGTTGACTTTTCAAACATACTCTTGAATGTGATAAGTAAAAGTAGATGTGATGAGTAGATTTTTTTTTGAAGTCAATGTGATGAGTAGATTAGTAATGAAAAAATGTGATATGAGGTTAAGAATTAGTAGGGGTAAAAATAATTTTTTAATAAAAATAAGAAAAATTTCTTGGGACGAATGAATAAAATTTAATCTTGTAAGTAGTGAACATGCACTATAATTTGGGATAGAGGGAGTAATCAATTTGACCAAATTATGATTACTCTAAATTAAACAAAAATTGTTTAATTTAAGAGTGTAATCAAAGTTTGACATTTTACAGTCAAGCTTGATAAAATTTAGTTATCAAGTAAATTGAAATTACATTACACTACATCTGAAAATAAATTTTAACTTTGGCTAAATTGTACCGTTGGTCTTTTAAATTATTGCGTCATGTACTATTCGTTTTTCAATTTCGAAAAATTTAATGAATAACCCTTCAAGTTATTAAGTCATGTACGATTAGTTTTATCAAGTCATGATATATTTTATATTATGTTTTTCTATTTTAAAAATATTTATTATTACATATTTGAATATTAAATTTATTCATTTATCTTTACGATAAATAGCCTTTAAAAAAAATCAAGGGCGTTGCCCCCGAACCTCTACCCTACTCGTTACTATGACCTTGCTCGCAGTCCCGTTTTTTTTCTAGATCCGCCACTAGGGACGGATGAAATATAATCTAGGAGAATTTACCTAAATAGAATTAAAACATAATGACTTTCACAATATATGATCATATATTTTTATTTCCAATGTAAGAACATTGATCATTATCCATTAGTTATTATTCAAGTAAATGTCCACCATCACTAGATATTATTTATCTCACTAGACATTATTAAGTACTATTTAGAGAATAAAAAGTTTAATTCATACATTGGAAAATAACTTATATTTTAATCTTATTTAGTGCAAATTTCACTATAATCTAACCGTTTGTTTGACATTTAAGTGTAAGAACCAAACAGCAATTCCAACTTAATTTACACTTCAATATATCAACATGTAAAATTGCAAGTGTGCAACAAAACTAACAATCAGAAAAAAAGACCAAACAAAGACCCATACATTTTTTTTTCAATTTCTGTTCTTTGTCCCCCTAAACTGGGTGTTTAGTTAATAACCAAACAAGAGAGAAATTACAACATAAGAATCCATTTATCCGTAGCAAATGATCAGTTATATGCCAGAAGTGCCTCTAGTGATAAAGCCATCAACAATTATTAATATTGCCACTCTTATTATACTCTTATTCATCATCATCATCATCAGCATCAAAGTAACTTACTAGTATAGTAGTGTTTATTCTATTCATATGACAAAACTCTATTGACTAATATAATGGCCGTCAAAACTCATGCAATATAATGTATGAGTGCAGATAGCGTGGCGTTAGATTTCAACCAATACTCTGCAGGATCGCGGTGGAGAAGAACAACTGTTAGTAGAAAAGAGCACCGCGAGGAGGGAAACGAAGCAGACGGGTTCTACGGAGGGATCAACAAACTTTGCACTGCTGATGACATTTCTGCCTGGAAAAAGCTATGGCCATCTCAAGTCTTGGAATAGAATCAGATTTTCATGCCATTTTTTTCAAATAATAAGAACAATAGTTGGGTAGGTGATTCTACTTTAGGGATGGAGTTTCAGTACTTCACCTCATATAGGAATTGCATCCTCTGTACAGATTTATGGAAGTGATGATGATGGGCTAATTGGATAAATTAATGGGTACCTGTTCTAGTGATTCTGTCAACCCAAAGTAACTGCTGGGTTAAAAAGGATTTAAGAATTTTCATTCAATGTGTGATTCGTATGCGAAAACAATGATTGAATAACTAAGCACAGTATTAGAACACTAAAAAAAAACTAAGCTCGGTATTAGAATACTAACTTGTAGCACAAAAAAAATGAATACAAACTTGTAGTTAAGGTGTATTTGGTTGACATGGGAAAGAGTTGGATGACTGGATGAGTTATAAAGTCATGATATCAAATCAAGATGCAATACAAACTAAGGTCATGTTCTCTTCACTTATTCTTATTACTTATTACTTTTTCTTATTGGAATGAGTTCGGATTAGATCAAAAAAAGTTTTAAATATAACTACATTCAGATTAGAATTTATTGCATTTAGATCAGCTAAAGTAAACATGGCCTAAGATTCAAGCATACCTGTACTTCGGACGATCTTGACTCTTCACTTGATATCTTGAGTGCCTCTTTTTTATGAGTAGATGAATCTTGAACTTTTTTCCTCTTATGTCAATCCCTAGCTAGAGGTTTAACAAGCTTCAATATTAGCCCAACAAGATTATGCATTCATCCCTTGTCTTTCAATCATATAAGGGCATATATCTGACATTCAAATAGCAATCATTTTAGGGGGGCATGTCAATCTCATGACATATTCAATGCCGTCGACATTGGGACCAATGTCATGGGAAGCAAGCCTTTCATATTAATAGAAAACTTACCTTTACAAGAATAGAACTCTTCCCTTGACATTGAGAACCAATGTCTTCCCGATGTCATGATAAGAAATTGAACACATACGGTGTCCAATTTGTAAAATTAATGGTTCCTACCCCTAACCACCATTCCTCAACCCCCCCCCGGAATTGTCGAATCGAGGGAGGGGCATGACATAGGTTCCAAAAGTAAGGGGACCCGGTCATTACAAGAATGCCTTTAAAGCTTTCACTTCCCCTTGTATCAAATGACATTAATCTTTCTTGAATCTCTTGATTATGGCTCTTGTATGCTACCTTGATTGTCACTTGATTGGCATTTGGTTATCATTATCAAAACCTATGACAATGGACAAGTAAGTTCGCAATACAAATATTCATGTAATAATATATTGTCCAACAATTTTAACCTTTTTTATAATGATAAACATCTTAGAGGATTTGCATCAACGCTTACTCCCCCCTCTAAATGTGCATTAAACACAACAAAAAACAAGCATGCACTAAAACATAATTCAAATGCAATTCCTCCTAAATATATGTTATTTCCTTCGGAATATCGACAAGGATCATTTGACTCGGGCCAAAAACGACCTGCGCATTTTGGAGAACCTACGGTACACCGTGGGTAAAACAGATGGTTCCTATCCTCCCCCCAGCCCCCAGCCTCCAGATTGCCAATTTGGGGGCGGGGCGAGGCTTGGGTAGGGTGCAAGGGGCGGGGGTAGGAAACATCAATTTTACTAACAGAGCACCGTAGGTGCCCTAGGTCAGTCTAAGGTCAGAATACCCCGGGTCAAAAGAACTGTGGTGCTAGAATATAGTTCCACATGCATATCATCAATATCTTTCCATTTTGGCATTATCACACAGGTATAACCAAGATACAAGCTCAAGCAAATATATCAAGAAGTCTTCAATATAAATCAATTAACAATAAATATATAATTGCTGATTCTCTCATTGTGTGCTTGGTGCGTCTACTACAACTCAAGTTGAAATCTTTAAACACACTTTTCTAATAACTCCATCACAATATACACTCAAGCTTTCTCTCTCTATACCCCCTAGGTCTAGAATCTATGAGTAACTATTTATGCAATAACATCCTAGTAAAATCTCACTAAAGTGTGCTTTGTGAAGAGTGTGAAGAGTGTGTGTACGTAGAGTCATAGACCTTACCCCTATTCGAGAGTAGAGAATTGTTTTCAAGAGACTCTCAGCTCGAGTAACATAGAAAGCATAGCTTACAAATAAATAAGCACACAACAAACTAAGGATAAAGAAAAGTGGAAAGACACACCATACATAACAAGCAAAAAAGGACATGATCAAACCAACCTCCAAGGCCCAAACGACTACCCAACTGCCATAATCCTAGATCTCTAGAGGCTTCTATCTAAGGTCATATCTCCAAAAGGGCTAGAAATCTTAAGTCATGTCTAATCTCCTCCCTCCAATTCTTTCTAGGTCTACGGTCTACCCCTTCCCCACCCCCACCCACTACCGTAAGCCTCTCGCATCTCTGCACAAGGACCTCAACACTTCACCGCTTCACGTACCCAAACCACCTCAACCTAGCTTTCTACTACTTATATTAAGAAGTATCAATATATTTTTTTGGCTGAAAACTATTCTTCACAAAATAAAAGCACGATCTAACTTGAAATTCGTAATGCCAAACCTCGAATATGGAATATGAAGTCTGGATAACTAGAATATAAAGTTGAAAAGAACATGATCTAACTTGGAGTTGGCCACATTTACCCATAAGAGAATCCCATTTCATCATTCACATGAATATGCTCTCTTAAAATCAAAGGAGGCTAAACCGTACAACTTATACTTGATGTTTCTCTCAAACACAGAGGCAAGATTAGACATGATAAAATGTTGGATACCAACACTTCATTCTACTCCTTAATTTGTATCTCAAATATGATTCCTTCAAGATGTTTTACCACAGATCGTGTCCCGGCCACTTCATTTATCTGCAAACCATGTCTCATAGCTTCATCAACGACCAAGGTATCCATTCTGCAGAGAAAGACAATAATAGGTGGGTGTAAACGTAAAATTCAGAGAAAGAAAAAGTTCCAAATGTGGTAAAATTCAATTACCTTGTGCCTGTAGTACAATAATGAAGTTGTTTAATATTAAAAAAAATCACTTCTACCAAGGGTGTGTTTGGATGAAGATGACATGAGCTGGGGAGGGAAAATGAGTTCTCTCCCCTCTATCCACACATCCTAAAGAAAATAACACTTTGGAGCCGTAATTTAAATATTGAAGAGATGTACATACATTTTTGCTCGCGATACATAAGCCAAAATGAATTTGCATTTGTTGCCCCCTCGGACTTTGAGTAGCTGCTCCACAGTATCAAAGAGAAGAGGAACACTTGACTGCTGAAAACTTGCATATTGTCAAGGATTATGGCGAAAGTAAATAAATTCACATATTAAAATGCAGTCATTTACTAGTCAAAGGCAAAAGTCATTTTTTTTCAATGAGGCATGAGATGCTATGGCATGATAAGACAATTGTACAAGACAAAAATATAAGCGTATAAATATGACTGTTAGTTTTAGATGAAGCACAATTAAAATGCCAATAGCCTGATTGAAACTATAAGTCTTCGAGATAAAAATATAGGCATTTGGATATAAATGTCAGCTCCAAGAACTATATCAAATCCTTGAGGATGGTCTTGTAATATAGAACTGAGCTGATCAGTATTGCCCCATTCCAGCCTCTCGCCTTTTAAGCCTGAAAAAATACGGGCAGACACTTTTAAGAAGGTGCAAGTCTATAAAAAAATGCTGCCATCGTTTGTGAAAGTTTTGTTTACTGACGAGTAGAAATTCGAGAGGTAGCATGAAGCTCTATATTTTTCTTCAGGATCTGAAAGTGGTCTAAAATCTAAATATTAGATGCTGAAATGACATGGTTCTTGAAAATATTGAAAATTATTGACATCTAACTTGAACATGCCTTTAGAACCTCCTCATTGTGGTCTGTCATCACGACTTCATGACAAAACTTGCTGCATAGTATTCCAGTTATTCCTGCATTCAGCAATTTAGCAAATTTATCTTAAAATTATAGAAGAATTGGGAAATACTGATAATGTGCTATAGAATTGACATATTCAAGTAGGCCTACGCTACCCTTCTTTATGAAGAACTGCAATAAACTCTTAGTACATAATTGATTCTATCCAAATGCTTAGACTATCTCCCTAGTGATCCTATTCTCAAACGCTCTGTTTGGACAGATGGTTTATGGAGTATTGGAGAGTTTAAAACAAATGAAAGTAAACATAATATGCGATCGTCAAACATTTTAATCACCTATAATTGTTTTTAAGAACAATTCTATTTATCAAGTCCTAATTAGGTCACCAAGGTCTTCAATCTAAATTGACCCTATAGGGTTTCTTCTCCTTTGGATGGAGGATTTTAGAGGGATTTGGAAAGCCAAGTCTAAAACTTGATAAAAATTTGATTTTGTATTAAAATGAAGGAATAATATGATAGGTGAACTATGACATTTCAATCATTGTATCACCCTTTGTTTTGAGAAATCTGAAGTCCATCAAGATATTGATCAAGCATTCCAAAGCCTTCTCCTTCTAAACACTCCATCCAAACTGGCCCTTATAATCTTTCAAGACCCTAAACATTACTCCGCACTAAACAATTTAAACTGGCAGTAATTACCTTTCAACTACTTCACATAAGAACATGAGTGCCAAATAAAGTTCATTTAGGGAAAATGTCCTATATAAATGATGGTGAAGGAAAGAATAAATGATTATGAAAACAAATCATTTAATTAACAGCATTAAACTATGTCCACTCAACATATTTAAAAAGTGCAGCTCCAGCAAGGCAGCAATTGAAGGACTCGGAACAATAAGAATAGAGTATAAAAAAGAATTCTTCATGAGATTACTAACCAACGCCAGAGCCAAGCTCAATAACAGAACACCCTTGGATGATGTCAGCATTCTTTGCCAGATAATCATTCAAGAGTACTGCTCCAGGCCACACCAACTGTCCTGTCAAATCAAAATCGGTGACATGCATATAGTTAGTTCTAACTTCTAAGTAGCTATATGCATGAAAGAAAAAAAATCCGCTAATATAGTGCTAAATTTCTAAACACTATATTTCAAAAAGAAATAAAGAAAAGAAATGATATTCATTAAGTTTTTATTCGGTCGTAGTAGGAAATTTAAACAAAAACTGGTCTCATACTAAATTTAGAGTATAGTGATAATATTGACGTCAACTTATAATTTGTAAGACTCATCACCAAAGACATAAGTACAAGTTCATTAGAATTCAGCCAAACAAAGTAAATTGCTTGAATAATCATCCATTATTATACTCATCATACTACGTGAAGCTTTGCAGCACAATAAACGTATGCACTGATTACAAAAACAATATAAGCCCACTTTCTTTTAGCTTTTGTGGCATTTTGGTAAAAATTTGTTCATGAATGGTTCATAGCAGCAACCACTGCAGCTTAGTGTCTTACATTCACTGCTATGGTGTGGTTTGAGTAAGTACGACTGCTAAAGTGGACGGCTTTTCATCACAATTCTCATTGTGGGTTGTGAAAACTCCAGTGAGTATGTTTATTTTATTTTTTAATTCCACTTTTATTCATTAACTAAACATATCCTCCTTTTAAATACAAAAATTTAATTTTAATAAAATCATTATAAATATTTAAAAACATTTCAACTGCACCATCATTGTTAGTTTATTAAACAACTATTAAGACCCTGATTAGTTAACACTCTTCTAGTATCAGGTATGGGTTTGGGGAGTCTTGAATCCATACTTGTTGTTCGGTTACAAGAAAATCTTTCCTAGACCCAACCTCCAAACCCCACGAATCCCATCCTCTCAAAACGCCAACCTCCTAGTATGAGTTGTATGACCAGAGCCATATTTAAGGTTTCAACTATTATTTTCACTATTTTATTTTAGGTTTATTTTACCCTTCACTTATATCAAGCAACTCCGTGAGTCGGTGACCATCACAATCTCGCAACCACTACAACTGACCTTCATATGTTGATAAACAAAAATATTAGGTTTGTAGAATAAAAACCTACTTGGTTTTGTTCCTATTTCCAAATGTATAACTGAAATTGAACCAAACTGGACCTGAAGCAGAATTGTTTGCCATCTACCTCACCATTCCCAAACTCAAAGCCAACTAAGGGCCCTAATCAATCAAAAAATATCATCAACAGTTTTTAAAAATGCTAGTCTCGTCCAAAAATTTAAGCTCAAGAACCTGAGTCTTCAATGTCATATACGTGGAAAATGACACATCGCAAGCAACAGAAGCAGAGAAAACATTGCAAAACAATAGCCTTGATTTGGGAATAACTGGATTTCATAGTGGAATCAGTCCAGTTGTGAAAAAAAAATCAGAGGGGAAAAAGGCTTACTGGAAGCTGATTGGAGGCAGTAGAGCTGCAGAACTTGAGATCCGAAGGAGAATGTGGTAAGCTCGTAGCTGCAAACAAACGCCTCAAACCCCAAATTTCAAGAAGGAAATACATACACACACACACACACACACACACACACATATATCGATACACACAGAGTTTCGTACTTATCATTGATGAAAAACGACTCGTCCAAGCAAACGATGTCCTCTTCTTCTGCTTCGCCTCTTCTTCCCATAATGGCGGCAGCGGGTACGAAGAAAGTTTCAGGTATTCCCTCTACTTCTCGCTGGAAGTATGGGCTTTGCATCCCCTCCCAATTCCCTATCCCACATCTAATTTTCTGCGACTTATTACCTCATTTCTATTACAAATTATATTATACTCCCTCCATCCCATGTATTTGTCCACTTTCATT